TGATGAAACAAAATGAAAGAAAATACTGTAAATGATTTAATTTTCAATTTTTTCTTAATCCAAATTACATGTTACTTCAAGACAGGTGTGGTACTCAAAAAGAAAATGTTCATTTAAGTATATTCAACATTAGTTCAATATCAAGACCAATGGTTAAGGACAACCAGACCCACTGTTTTGTTGGTTGTGGATGAATTTCTTACTTGCAGCTAAAAGACCATGATCAACATACACAAATGCTTGCTTCATGACGTAAGAGCATGGTAATTTAACAATTTTGTACTTGAATGAACAAAATATTCTTCAGTAAATAACTTCTTGTGTTTTAAATCTTACAATGTAACATTTTTCCAAAAACCTTTTTTTTATCATTATGGATTAACATTAACAAAGAACATATGCTTACTTTCAACATTTTTTATAAAGAAATACTGGAAAGAGAAATTTAACTTGTCTAAAAATGGTCACAGACATTTGTCTTGATTATGAGTCAAAACGGATCCCTTTTGCGGTAAAAGGCAAAATAACGCTTAAAATCATATAAATAGATAGCAGACAGTTAGGGATTTACAAAAAAGGTAACGTCAAAAGGTTTGTTTGTTGACTAATCATAAGAAATTTCTAAAATATTTTGCAGATTGCAGAAAATCGTGTTCTTTATTTTTGTCTCCTCAAATGTGTTAAAACTCACAAGTGAACAATGCAGTATAAATAGAAATAACACACATCCTGGTGATAAAAAAATATTTTTAGCATTTGTGAATGTTCAATAGAACATTTGAAGAAAATAATTGTCTGAAGGTGTTTTATTGCTGTCAGCATTTTCTAAACTATCATTTAAATTTAACATGACAAAAAATATGCTGACATTTGAAACAAACATGAGTCATAATCCTTGAGTGTTTGAAGGACGAAAATACAACGTTCATTGATGTTTCAAATTCTAATGTTCAATAACATTTTATCGAGATTTTTTTAAGGTCAATTGAAGTTAAATTGTTCAGTGTATAAAAGCATTTGATGAAGCAGACATTGAAGATCACAAATTTCAATGTCAACAGAATGAGAGATGACAGCTGATAGTGAAACAAGTTTACGCTTTACCAGTGGATGTTTGATAAGCCAGTATCTGTGTGTAGAACACAGCTGAAAGTGTAAAATCATGTGATCATTGTCTGGCTCGCGGGAATTCCAAAGAGTGCGAGTGCGTCTAGGGACAATAGGAATCAAATTAAATCCTTTGTTCAAGTCAGACATGCATAGATGAAATAACTCGAATTATTTTGTTGCTATGGTTATCAAAAATATTTTGTATAACTCCTGACAAATTAGCTTCAGTAGATAGCATGCCTTTGAAGGAATGGAACAGAATTAGCCATCTTGGAGGCAGACCAGAAGGCTGGCTTGATGAAGGCGAGATTAGCCTACAGAACCAACAAATCGGGTAACAAGCAGCACCAGAGTCAGAATTAGCTGTCAACGACAAGACAATAACGGAGGTTACACACTCAACTTTTTGTCCTGTCGAAAGGGGGACATTTGCGTTCCTGAGATTAGCTCAATTACAAGGACTGATATTTGCTTGCATTGATTCAATGCCACCAGCACATGTTATGAGGACGGCCATCACTCCAGACTTGTTTCTTCTTTCCGAGGGGCTGCGTAATTCTGTGTGCAACGCGACAACGCCTCCTGAGAGGACCAGAAAGAAGTGGAGTATATTGACACGGGAAGCTCTCAGTGCTTGGAGCATTGCACCCCAAGCTCAGTTCATTGTATCAAGGGCCCTTCCATAAAATTCAGTACACAAGAAAATTCACCAAAATTGGGAATATTCGCATGACGGGATAATTGAAGTTTGGAATGAACCTGTTGAGAGGAACTGTGATATGTGTACGATCAGGATCTATTTGATGATAATCTCTTGACCCGACTGGCAGACTGTGAGCATATGGTCCCAACAACCCAAACAGGGCAATAAGAGTTGATCAACCCTCTTCGCCTAATAGAGGTGTCTAGCTCTATACATGTGCAACACATACACATGCCATATCCACACACTCAAAGCTCCTGATGGTGGAAGTGGCACTGTCTGGTGAACATTTCCACATGAAATATTCATTGTCTCCATCAAGATACCTGACACACATGGAAATTACAAAGAAATTCACATGTTACGAAGACGTAACCTCCTCCTAAGCCAGGTCTCATCCTTCCTAATTCCAACCAAAATACACAAAGTTTTCCGAGAGAGCTGTCTAGTCCTAAGCTCTGTGAAGTAATATTCATGAGGAGTTCCAATGGAATGCACACCACATAATTTATTGGAATACAAGACCAGTATTCAGGTGTGATATGTAGGCATAGATTTAGTATATTAGATTGACAGGATTTGTTACGACGGTTCACCAGAACTGCAGTCTGAAGTTCCTGCAGATGCTTGTCTTGTGACATCAGCAAAATGAAAGTAAAATCTTGAAACAAATATTACTTTCAGTAAATACTGATGACTTGTAAATGACACAAAATACATCCATGACTGCAACAGCATGATTGAACAACTGATGTTACATCTAGGAATATCCAAAGTTTCCACTATCTAGTGAGTGAGTGAGTGAGTATGGTGTTACGCCGCTTTCAGCAATATTCCAGCAATATCAGGTTAGGGGACACCAGAAATGGGCTTCACACTTTGCACCCATGTTGGGAATCGAACCCACGTCTTCAGCTTGATGAGCTGACGCTTTAGCCACTAGGCTACCCCTTCCACTTCCACTATAGTGCGTTTGGCTCAAAAGCGGACCGATGAATTGCAATCGAAAACTAGTAAAGGACAGCCAGGTGTTAGAGAAGCACGTGCACAAGTGCCGACAAAGTTATTGATTCATTAATCTGTGCTGTGCCGTCTCCATCCTTTCTCGCACACCTGGCTGTCCCTTTCTCTGCACTCCTCCCTCGTAACAAATAGTGAACTGTGTCAATATTTTAATGATAGTTTGTTAAACAACTTTATTTTTAGGACATAAATTCTGCAAAAACCTCAGAGTTGGTCTGAAGTTTTGATTATGATCATTGTTTCATGGAGTATTTTATGTTTATTAGTTTTCGAGTTAGATTGCAAGTCATCGGTCCATTTTTTTTAGCCAAACGGACTATAGTGTCATCAATGTGGTGTTGTTGTAAACTGTCGTCTCGTGTTCATGTGTTGTTTAAGGCTACCATGGGCTAACAACCTATGATATTAACACTGTGTTGTTTTACGCTGCCATTAGCTGATAACACACAGGTGCTGCTGTTATTGTCTGTCATTTTTTGCCATCACAGGCTACAACCAAAATGATTAACACTGTTGATTTTCAATGCCCTGGATAACATCCAGCAAATATTATTAACACTGTGTTGTTTTCCAATGCCTTGAACAATATCCGGCTAATATTATTAACACTCAGTGTTGTTTTCAAAAGCTACTGGAGAACATCCAAACATTGTTATTAACACTGTGTTGTTTTTAGCCCAAATATTTCTAATATTATTAACACTGTGTTCTTTTTAAAAGCTACTGGGGAACATCCAGCCAATATTGATAACACAATGTTGTTTTTCAAAGCTACTGGAGTACATACAGTCAATATTGTTAACACTGTGTTGTTTTTAAAGCCAATGGCTCACACCATCCAGCCTATACTATTAACACTGTGTCGTTTCTGTCAAGCCACAACATAACCAATAGTTTTGACACTTCATTATTTCCTTCGGAAAGTAATAAATCCGCATGTGGGCACATCACATGCCCGCCTCCTGGTGTTGAACATAACAACTATGTGAGTGGTGAGCAGGGCACACACAATAATGCTACAATGTTACACTACAAACATCACTAGTAATTGGCAAGAATTTCAAAACAATGGTGACCACCAGTGGGGGATAGCATAAAACACAAAAAATAAAACAGGATTGTGATTGGGCAGTTTACCAATTTATATGCCATGTCCACATTGTTTAGGCATGTCGGGCAAACCCTGCTATTTCTGTATAATTTACACATTTGAATTGCTTCGATTCAATCTGAATACCTTACAATTGCTACTTTATATACCAATCCGTTTTAAGTCCCATTAAACAAGGATATAATATTTTTGCCTTAATATCTTTGTAATAATTGCAAATTAAGTGTTGCCCAAAATACCCTAAAAGATCTGGAATTAATTTAATATAGAAACATTTTTTCAAGGAAAACCTATAAAACTTGTTATCTTTCACATCTAATGTCTCTGCAAAGCCTCTAGTTACAGTTAAGCAATTCTCAATGACATAAAAATATTCAAGAGAGAAAATTGATTTAAAAAACAGTTGTCAGGTGACTGCAGAAGCATGAATTAGTTTTTCAGGCTGAGAGAACTGTATGTATCCCTATTGGTTTGTAGCAGTATTTGATGAACTATCTCTTCATTACAAAAGGACAAAGAAACTACAGTGGAAGAAATCCCCAGATTAATCATGGTTAGCCCACACGGCTACAGTGGAGCCCTCCAAGCCCACTGGTGTGGTTACAATATTAACTAGTGTGATTGTGTGATAGACATTCTCTTTAAATCCCTATAATAGGCTCCCATCCATCAATGGCCTTCCTTAATACACTTTGCTTCAAGTCTATTATACCACACTGGGAAAACGAAGGTTTTGTCTCTCAATGCTTATCATGTGACTCCATGCCCAGAGATTTCATTTACCATGTCTGATTATTTGATCAACAATCGCACTCTCAAATGTCTAACAGGCTCCACGCTTAATACGCTTAAATGTGCTTTTTATTTAACAACATCTGTTGACATGAAAGCCCAAGTTTCTGACATGCAAGGGAAAAAGGCACACCTCATTAAAGCAGGGAAATTCATTTGCTCATGCAGAAGATTCCATTTCAAAGAAAGGGTAGACAGGGTGACATAGAGAGGGAGTTTGAGGTTGAGAGAACAGAAAGACAAGGCAGTCTGTGTACATACCCTCATATTTCTTCTCCAATTGTGCTGAAAAATACAATTAAGGGTTATTCAAGAATTAGCATCAAGCAATGTAGAATGTACTGATACATCAGATAAACATTTTAAGCAGAAACAGGTAGAATAGCATAAGATGAATGGTTAAGCACTCTTCATTGATGATGGGGTAAGCACCATTTTTTGATGATGGGGTAAGCACCATTCATAGATGATTGGTTAAGCTGATATCGAATATGACTGTTTAAGCACCACTTATATATGATTGGTTAAGCACCATTCATAGATGATTGGTTAAGCTGATATCAAATATGACTGTTTAAGCACCACTTACATGTGATTGGTTAAGCACCATTCATAGATGATTGGTTAAGCATCAAATATGACTGTTTAAGCACCATTCATAGATGATTGGTTAAGCTGATATCAAATATGACTGTTTAAGCACCACTTACATGTGATTGGTGAAGCACCATTCATAGATGTTTGGTAAGCACCATTCATAGATGTTGTTAAGCACCATTCATAGATGTTTGGTAAACACTGTTCATTGATGTTTGGTAAGCACAATTCATAGATGATTGGTTAAGCAGAATTCAAAGATGACTGTGTAAGCACCATTCATAGATGTTTGATAAGAACTAGTACTGTTCATAGATGATTGGTTAAGCAGAATTCAAAGATGACTGGTTAAGCACTTTTCAAGGCAGGCAGGTTTCTGCTCTGTAAAAAGATGATTGATAAGCATGGTTCCTGTTTAGTGGTGATTGGGACGGCTGTTTTGCGGGTGGGGCAGAAATGGGCTTCACATGTTTTACCCATGTGGGGAATCAAACCCAGGTCTTCGGTGTGATGAGCCAACGCTTTAACCACTTGGCTACCCTACCGCTCCTCCATCAATTAAGACACTTTTGGATCAAGACGCATATGGACTCCAGCAAATGACAAAAACACTCACCAACAAAGATTGGCTAACATGACCTTTATTATTCATCAGATGAGCTGTTTATACTGAGAGTTTGCTATTCACATGAAAGAAAATAAATGAGGCATTTATTAGACAGCACTGTTGGCACCAATGGTGTAAAACATCTGACACCAATCAAATAATGACATGTTTAGGATCACACCAATCATTTCGTTTCGTGTTAAACGTGAGTAAGAAACCTGAACGACTTGATTCCATCTTGCCTGGACAATCGGTATGCATCTTCAAAATCGAGATTTATCTTCTTTTGCTCTTACTAATCACATATAGTATATCGCTTTTTTCTTCATGTAAGTGCTTTAATTGATGATTAATTGGTATATTTTAAGCACATCAACTTACATTTAACAACATTGTTACTTTTCTGACAATGATATACTTATAAGGTTGCACCAATACATTGTTACCAATCACAATGACACTGCCTTTTGCCTGGGTATTTCAGGCCCGTGAAAGTCCGGGTTAGAATATTGATCTTCAGTAACCCATGCTTGTCGTAGGAGGCGACTAATGGGATCGGGTGGTCAGGCTCGCTGATTTGGTTGACACATGTCATCGGTTCCCAATTGCGCAGATCGATGCTCATGCTGTTAATCACTGGAATGTCTGGTCCAGACTCAATTATTTACAAACCGCCGCCATATAGCTGGAATATTAATGAGTGCGGCGTAAAACTAAACTCACTCACTCACTCTGGGTATTTAAAAAATGTACATTTGATTTTGTTTCTAAGTGTTAAAGAATCGTTTTTCACTTTGATGTATTCAACTTTAAAATCAAAGCACAAAAGATTTAAAATCTCAACAACTACAACTGTAGTTAAACTTATGATCCATGCAAAGTGTCTACTCTCTGAACTATATTTGGAAAGTTGTATCTTTATTCCTCAAATTTGAATATTTTTGCTCTTCACATTTTACCAAACATTCTTATACTATTTTTTCCATTACTTTCATCAAATTTGAGACTTCTGGTGACAAATATTCACATTAAATGCAAACAGCAATTGTAGAAAAAAATCTGTAGCATCTTTATGAGCCTTAAGTTTATGAAAGTTCAGGGGAAACTGTTAACTAAATTTGATTTGTATTTTTTTCATCTAGTTTTAAAATTACCATGGATCAGAACCATTCGAACACATTTTGGTGAGACTATGTAGTTACTTTAAAAATTTCATTCATTTTTTTTACATGACAAAAAACTGTCAACATGACTCGAACCATTTGAACAGACATCTGGTGGGAATATGTACATTATCTGTCATCTTCAACGGTCCAGTAGTTTTAGAACAGAAAAATGTACCCACAATGACGACAGCTGATGGGCATACAAGCTATGACACATACTCACTTCAGCTTATAACCAAGGTGAGGTAAAAACTGCAATTTGTCTCCATCGGTTTTTCTGACATTTTCACAAGACGACAAAAAATACTCCAGCAATATCACTGATAGGACGTTTTTACTTGATAATGCTCTGGCTTCCTAGTTTTTCTTCAGTTTTTTATGTTGACCAAATTCAGACAGACTACAGATTGTTAGCTTTGGTAGTAAGTCTGTCTCCTATCAAGTGACATATGCTGTCTCAGCAAACTCTCGCCAGCCGCGGAAACTACAAAAGACCACCTAAATCTGCCTGATTAATTATAGCGAATCTGTTTCTCTAACCACAATGATCAGACTCGATCATACTCTCATTATACTTATCACAACCAAAGACAATTTTGTCTCCACCACACGTGCTGCCTCACTGCTAGCAAAACCTCCTTGTGTATTGATATCAAACATCAGAAATGCTGAATAAATAGCCAACAGTCCTGCAATCGATGAGGAACATTATTTAATAAATCCCACAAACACTGTCCACAGAGGCTGTGCTCTGTTTGAGAATGGATGCGATATGGTATGTTTAACTGGAAATAAGGACCAACACAGCATATCAAACACTTGAAGTGCTGTTCTATTTGATGCCTTTGGATGCACATATTGTTAAGAAAATAAATGTTATCAAACTTACAATGTGTTTTTTCATTGGTTTCGGAACAGCCTGAATTCAACGCCAATAGTTCCATATCAACATCAATTTTTAGAAACGGTAAAAATATACCAGTTTGAAAATCCTAAAATGTTCTTGAAATGAATGAATAAAGGTTTTCAAAAAGTAAATTCAGACATGACAGTCTTACAATTTTGATAACATGCATAATACATAATACATAATACATATAATAAAATATTTCTGTCAGAGTTTGGTATAAACACATTTATTCAGTTTCTTGAATCAGGCCAAATATAAAAGATGTTGGGGTTCTGATTACAGCTCTTAAAAAAAAGGTTAGGTAGGTAGGAATTTTTATACATATATTTTTTACATATTTTTAGAAGCAAAGTACAAACTAATAACACATTTATCAATGTGTACAGTCAACTCTCGTTAATCCGACACTTGTTGCAGAGAAATATGTCGGATTAACGAAAATGTCGGATTAATGAAAATGTCGGATTAATGTATTTGTGTGAAAATACATATACAATCACATAAGCGAACAGTTTCATATCTATTTCATGACCACATTGGCACAAAACTCACGTTTGTTTTCTACAAGGGGTCGCTTAGCAGGTGGTGTACTCGTGACTAATATCTTGTGATGAAAACTCATGTCAGTTGTATCATAAACATTTTATACAGCTCGCTCCACTGTTATTTCTTGATTAAATCGTCTCAATTAATTATCCTGTGTTCCTAATTAACAAGTTTGATGTTCACTGACGCCGCTGTCAAGCAGCCAGTAAGGCACACGCTAATTATCACTCACATGTGATTGTTTGTATACGGTGGGATATACGGTCGGATCATCCGACCGGCTGTGTTGATTGTCGGATTAACGAATGTTTTTACACTGTATTTACAATAATCAGCTGCTAGATTAGTGTGTCGGAGTCGGAATGCGAGAATGTCGGATTAACGAGAGTAATTATCACTGTTTTAAATGGTTCCCTCATTTTTTGTCGGATTAACGTGATTGTCGGATTAATGAGTGTCGGATTAACAATGAGCTGACTGTACTTGTTTATTTAGTCAAGCTTGAGGCCACCATGTCGACTTTCTGTATCAGAATGACCGAGGTCCAGTCGATGCCGGGGGAAAAAACAATGGTATCTGAACGCTTATTTTATTCATACCGCTTAAAACAAATAGAGTCGGCACAAGAATTCAAGGGTCGGTCGGTTAATCGAAACCACAACATTTTTTCTTTTAGGCCTCAATGACTCAATATCATTGGGTACAAAGAGAGGCCACATATAACACTATCGTGCCATGTATCTCTTAAGGTTAACAAAATCTAAACAGAACTGATAAACAACACGTCTCAAAGGAATTCTTTATGAAGTTAATTTGAAGTAACAATAGTTAGCAGCATACTACAAAATTAGCTCTTCAAAAAAGACTATAGTCAAAACAATTGTGCAACCTGCCAAAGAAAACAGACGTGGAACTATAAATATTAAATGGCTGATAATTTTGTTATCAGTGGATGGTGCTGAAGTGATTAGCGTACTGTCAATCACTTAAAGAGTGAAGTGGATCTACAACAGTGCTGATCATACAGATCAATACTTCAACACTCAACTTCCCGAAACAGAAACTTACTGCCATACATTGTTTCAGCTCTTGAATGAAATCTTCTGTGTGCATAGAGACGTGATGATGAGTATAGATTACAAAGATGAATTACTAACATTGTTATGGTCTCTAGGGTGGAAGATTGGATGAAGAGTGGGTGCCACAGAAACTGTAACATTAATGGGTGGGTTGTGTTCTGGAGAGTGGTAAGATGGGTTCTGAATAGTGGACTGTGGAGTTCTGAAGAGTGGACTGTTGATGGGTTCTAAATAGTGAACTGTGGACTGTTGAGTTCTGGAGAGTGGTAAGATGGGTTCTGAATAGTGGACTGTTGAGTTCTGGAGAGTGGATAGATGGGTTCTGAATGGTGGACTGTTGTGTTCTTGAGAGTGGATAGATGGGTTCTGAATGGTGGGCT